GGCAGAGATGGAGGCAGCGCAGCCCACCCGGCACATCCCCCCCCGGGGACCTGCAGCTCCCACCCGAAACCCCGGGGTTGGCACCTCGCTGGGGCTGGCGGCTGGGCAGGAGCTGGAGAGGGGCAGGGGGTGAAGGCGAAGGTTTGTTGGGGAAGGAAAAGCAACCCGGCAGCGTGGCCGGGCTCCAGCACAGGAGACCAGCCCATGGGGGGGGCAGAACGGGCAGAAATGAGCCCCTCGAAGCTGGTCCCACCGCAGGCAAACCCCAGTTCCAGCCTCAGCATCCCCTGCGCTCCTCCGCTGCCTTCACCCCTGCCAGAGCCTGACACCGGCGGGGCTGCGCCCCCTCCACGGGGACATGGACCCCCCCACGCCACCGGCCCCCAGCTGGGCCCTGGGGAGGGCGGCGAAGCCACCGACGTGTCCTTGGCTGCTGGTGTTTTTCTTTTGTCCTTGTAGAACAGCAATTGTAACCATGGGAGGCTGGTTTAGTTTCGGGATGTTTAGTGCATCTCTGCAGTGTACAGCTGAGACTTAGTTTTGGTTTTTGTTTTTGTTTTTTTTTCCTTTAAAAACAATGAATGTGTGTTTGTAATTTGTAAAGGTTAAGAACAAAAAAAAAAAAAAAAAAAAAAAAAGAAAAAAAATGTGCCAAAAAATGTACTAAGCATTTCATTTCCCTTCATACCTGTCTGTTTTTATAAGAACAATGTGAAAATTGCTGGGATTAAATATTTTTGAACATGATAAAATACTTCCGTGGGAAACTTTAGCGTTCAGTATAACCTCAATACAAATTGTTCTGTATTTTTACATGTCTGAAGTAAGTTTGCAGAGGCTCGGACCGCAGGCAGGCCCGGAGGGGCGCCCGGCGGCGCGGGGGCTGCAGCGGTGTGAGGGAGGGTGAGGCCGGGGGTCGCACACCTTGCTGCGGGATGCTGGCTCAGCTCTGAGCGTGGCTTCCAGGGGCCGGATCCTGCCCTGGTGCAGCCCCATAGTGTCCCCCTGCTCCCAGGGGATGGAGCTGGCTGAGCCCCAGGGGGAGGTGGGGGGAGCTGGCACAGCCCGGGCACCTTCCCCCCGAACCCCGCCTCGCCCCCGAGCATCGCCCCTGCCAGTCCAGCCACACCGGTACCTCGCGGGAAGGGGGGGTCTGGGTGCTGCCCCGAGGCACTGGGACCCCACTGGACACCCGTGGCCGTGTCCCGGAGGATGTGCAGGTTTGGGGGAGCCCCGCAGGGCAGGGGGCCTTTGGGGACCCATCCTGCCCACGCCCGGCTCGCCCTGATGGCCCGTGGCCATCGCCCAGCAGCTCCCATGGGAGACGTGTCAGCTGGGGCAGGGCAGCTCCCTGAAACCACAGGGAGAAACAAGGGGGGGCTGGGGGCTGCCTCACCTGCCCCCACACAGCTCCGCACCGGCCACGTCCTGCGCTCTGCTCCGCTCGGGGAAGACCTCGGGGACGGGTGGGAAAAATCCCCCCGCTGCTCCCTGGGACCCTCTCCGGGCTGAGTGGCCCTGGTGGGGGCTCATCTCTGCCTCCTGCCCCCCCATCTGAAGGAGGTTTCTCCCCCCTTTCCAAGCTGGTCGGGCCCTGCCACATCCCCGGGGCACAGGGAGTATAAAAAGCATCACGAGGTCCAGCCTGGGGGGACCCCGGGGCCTGTGGGATGGCTGACATCACCCCCCCGTGACATCCCGGGTCCAGCCCTGTTTCCCGACACCCGCAGAGTCCCGGGTTTCCCTGGGGGGGGGGATGCTCAGCCCACCCAGCACCCTGGGAAATGCCCTTTGCCAGGGCATCCACCACCCAGCCGAGGAAACCTGGGGCCTCCCGTCCATCCCTGCACCTCCCCACATGAAACAATAAGATAATGCTGCCCTCTGCAAACGCGCTTTTAAAAAAAGGTTACGATGTGACATGAGATAATAGCTTCGTTTAGCAGCTGTCAGGCTAATGCACAGGGGGGCGAAGGAGCCAAGGCTCTGATGCAGAGCATTCCCGGGGGAGGGAGCTTGGGTTATTTTTGGACAGAGATTGCAAGAGAATTAAAATGAAGGAGAAAAGGAAAAAAAAAATTAAAAACGGCAAAACAAAAAAACCCAAACCACTTGATGCTGCCGTCCCTCCTCGGTGACGTAAAGCAGGAGCCAACCTCCAGCCTCTCGCTTTGCGCCGCGGATTAAGCTTTGTCTGGCGCAGCAGCCGCGGCCATTTCCCGCCTCTCCCCTCGGCGGGCGCGAGCGGGAGGACGCAGCGTGCTCGTCCCCCGGCTGTCACGTAGCCAAGGGACCCCCCGCGCCCACCCACGCGACCTCGGGAACCGGGGACCCCTCGAGGCTCTGCCCCGGCGTGGGGCTTGGCAGGATTTCACCACATCCCTGCACCTTCCCCCATCGCGGGGTTACTCCTCAGCAGGAGCCGAAGGTGTTCTGGGGGAGCCGTGCTGAGGATGGAGGGGCCCCCAGCCCCCCCCCGGCTC